TGGAGCAGTGAACAATAGGTCAAACTTTGTAGATGTATCAAAGTTTACTGCAGCTTATCTAATACTGTTCTTCTGCCAATTCAAGCCGGCCCACCGCCTCCGACTGGCCATCCACTCCCTCCACTCTCTTGTGGCGACCGTCCGTCCTCCGGTGCCCGAATCGTTGGTGGACAGGAAACAGTGAAGAACAGCATTCCATGGCAGGCTATGTTACGAACCGACAGGGCTCAGTTCTGTGGTGGCTCGCTTGTTCATAAGCAATGGGTCCTAACGGCTGCTCACTGTGTTCAAGGTTCATCGCCAAACAGCTTTAAAATTTGGTACAGTTTACTTTTCGTACTTAGTTATTTTGTTTTTGCTTGTTTTATTCAGCTATGTTGTTTTATTGTTATATTCAGCAAAGTTGAGAAGCTTTTTTCAGGTTGTGCCCTTAGGCTACTTTTCCTGTACTTTATTTTATTATTATGCATGACAATTTTCACCGCTCAGTACTGAGTTTATTCAAGAGATTATCAAGGTAAGAGAGTGAATCCTCCATATAGGTCTTATGTCCAAGGTAATCCCTCTATTGTACCCAGTTCTTCCGCGGATATTACTCGCGCGTTGCGTGGATGTTTTCGTGGAGGATCTGTTTATGTCGTTTCGTTTCGTTTCGTTTCGTTTCAAAGCAAAGGAAAACCTCCAACGCTGTGGGGATGTCTTCTTTGATATTTTAATTACAAGCAAAGGAGCTTCGGCTCTCGGTATGTTTTAAAACATTTCGAAATTTCAATAGGAGTTTAAATAAGAGACGGATGTCCCCTGCACAAACAAAATAACAACTAAATGAACGGCAGAGAAATTAGTAGACAAACGAGTGCAAAGCAAACAAACGCCCAAACACAAGCTAGGCAACGGAACAAACAAATGATCGAAAGTGCAGGCAGACGCTCGCTGCCCAAGTAGCAAAAAGCAGTTTAAGCAGCAATGACAACAACGCCAAAGACAACGTTGATTAAAAAACGACTTTATATTCAACCTATGAATCTCGCGAGAATTTAGATTCATTCAGTTTGTCCTACTGTCAGAAATATCCCAAACAGAAAATTCAAGACAGCGTCAAAATTCGAAAAAGAAATTTTAAAAATTGGCCCTAGTATAGTTCAGGTTCTCTTGAGTATGCAGAATGTGGCTATTTCACGCTGTTGTTTTGTGACCTAAACAACGGCAAAGAAATGAACAAAGAATTATAACGCGCGCTTACACAGCCATTGTACTAGTTGCCGTTCCCGATAAAGCTTGCTTAATTAAACTCCCTAAAACCGAATCAACGGCGAAATAATGAACAGCCAAACGAGCCTAACCAAACGACGGCTGAGAGTGCAGAAAACATCTCTGCTATGAAACGAAATCAAAACATGTAAAATGACGTTCCCGCCATTTTCGAGATGGTCGCTTCGGCTATCCAAGCATCGCGCGAGTAACCGGCTGCGGAAGAACTGGGTACCATGTCTAAAAATAACTTAAGAGAGATTACCTTGGGTAGGAAGCCTATATGGGTGATTCACTCTCTTACCTTGATAATCTGTTGGTTTATTTAATCACCAAATGGGCATTGAAATTGAACTGTTTTCTAGGCTAGGTGCTCATCGCAAAGAGACCCAAGAGGATACAACCCAAGAAAGAGCTGTTGCCCAAGTCGTGATCCATCCAGGATATAACTCCGGCACTAATGCAAACGACATTGCCATGGTCAAGCTTAAGCAAGAGGCTGTCCTGGGAAAGGGAGTCGGCCTTATCTGCCTCGGAGACAGCGCATTACACCTCCCAATTGACGATCTCAACAACCAGTGTCTGATAAGCGGTTGGGGTACTCTTGAAAGCGGAGGCCAGCAGCCCGATACTTTGCAAGAGGTCTTGGTCCCCCTGGTTTCCAAGAACAGGTGTGAGGGTGCCTATGGTAGTCTGCACGACTCTATGCTGTGCGCTGGGTTCGATCAAGGCGGAAAAGACAGTTGCCAGGGCGACAGCGGTGGTCCGTTGGCATGTCAATACAATGGGAAGTATTACATTGAAGGAGCGACAAGCTGGGGCAGCGGATGCGCTGGTGCTAACGCGTACGGAGTGTACGCTAAGGTACGCGAGCTGAGATCCTGGATCGATGGAATAATCCAAGGATGAAGCAGTCTCTTCCGACTATTTAGAATGAGAGTAAAGTTCAAAAGCTGTAAAAGATTTTAGCTTAAAATAAACAGATGAATGAGCATTCAACGAAGTCCAATATGTTCTACAATTTCGGAAAATCAAAATTATTGATAGAGAAGGAATAAACATGTATTGCAGTGCCTAGGCGCTTCGAGCCACAGAGTCCAGTAGATTAAAATTTTTACATTGACTGTATTGAAAATCTGAACATAGCTGACTGCCATTGTTACCCCTCAGTGACAAAAGGAACGGACGATTTGTTTATTCTAAGCGACAACATGACTCTCCTTGCCCTTATTTTGGCTTGGCTATTGGTTTACCCACTGTTTTAAGTCCCAAACCTCAAACTGCATTTGACTTTGCAACAAACATCAGTTGAAAGTCAAGAAAATAGCAAAAAAAAAAAATTATTTTAAGCCATTTAATCTCTAAACCAAGATCATTATACACATTGAGAGGTTGAAAACACAGCTTTATTTCTACTGTTTGACCTACCGTCCGCACTAACCTGTCACGAAAACGGAGCTTTTAAATTTCGAAAACGCTCTTCAAACCGGGTAATAACGAGACATTTTAAAAATAGATACTCTAAGGGTGCATGTGTGGGATATACACAATCATTAGCGTTAACGGACACGAGCCGATGACAATAGTGTGGGATACCACAGGTATCGCACATAAAACGGACCTTTGCCATAAGTATGACGTCACCATGACGGATTTCGCTGCCCAAGTTTTCCTCAAAGACAAATCCAAAATGACTGGTGATTGTTGCGTTTTCAAATTTCTCCAGCGTAGCGCGGGCGGAAAACATTTGTCTCGTATTCAGAGTGAAAACGCCGATTTCAAATTTCTTCGGCGTAGTGTAGTCAGGGCCTTAGATCGTGCCAGTCTACTGGCAGTCTATTTCGCAGCCGTTATTAGGGAAGTGACGCAACGCTTCTCAATGGGGAAGAAGCGTTGCGTGACGACCCAAATAGCGGCTGCTCTAGAGGCTACTGTACTGGCCATGTTGCAATACATTTTAACTGAAATTTTTCCAGTTTTAGGATAATTATAAACTGCGTTTGCCAAACTTCATTTTACTCACTATTTCCTAGTTGTGTACAAAGAACGTTTTCCTTGCTTAGCGGGTTGCGATAGTGCATGATTAGCTGTTTATCACTTTTTCAATTTACCCATTTTTACTCGATTTTTTGTTTGGATCGAAGCAAATAATATTAAGTCAACGATCTAAGGACTATAGTGTGCTTTTATTGAACCTCATTTCAATACTTTGTTTAATTTTACTAGTAAACTTATATACGCATTTACTACACTTTGATTATTCTCAAGTTACATCCATTTCCCGGGTAAGCACTCCCGCAGATGCAGTGTGGATCGTTCAATTAAGGGACCACTCCGATTGTCACTGAAAATTCATCAAGCACCACCATTGAAACAATAACGTTTTCTTTCCAAATCTGTTTTGCATTCTGAAAAGCCAATTAAATGGAGCAAAGAAATGAATAACAATATAGAAACCACATATTGAAAAAATGTAATCAATACTGTCTCACAGATCACATTCATCCCTCTAAGGTTTTGATCCTGTCTAACCTCCGCTTACCGACAACTCCCGAGAGCGGACAGTTTTAAAACAATGTAGATGGATACCTTCTGTAAGCAAACCGTTAAAAATGTAGTCATGTTTAAGCTGAATTGCCTTATTTTGCTTTTCATACAATTCAGGAGACACTGCAATTTTAAAGTGTCTATACGGCCAACAGGATTTTTTTGTGTGGTTTTGGTATCTCTATAATGTGTAAAAAGGTATTCTAAGAAAAAAAAACTGGATTCCGACGTTTTAATGCCCAAAGTTCTAACTTTAAAGTTCGCATTTCAGCCACGCCCAATGAAGTTGACCGTGAGTCTGTGCAAAAAAGGGTCTGGGTTTCTGAATGGGTCGAGACGTCAAGTCAGGAATTGTCAAATCTAGTTCAGGTCGCTGTTGTTTCAGTAGTGATTAGGAGTTTTCATCGACAAAAAGCAAACAAACCGAAGCTGGTGAAACAATGTGGTCGTCAATCAAGCAAAATAAAAACATGAAACTTTGAGATGTTCCTGAAGTGACGTCATTCGTCACCAATTACGCGGTCAACTTCATTGGGCGTGGTCGAACGGGAAATTTAAAGCTTGATTTCATGGCGAAAAAGCACCGGAATTAATTAAATTAGGTTGAATACATTTTTA